GTGTGGAGGACCTGGAGTGGGCGAGGGACAGGTCTTGGAGCTCCATGAAGCTGGTCCCCGGCCACCGGAGCTGACGAGTGGAGGGGCTCGGATCTGACTCGCACCTGCTACTCAAAGCAAAAATGATTGCAACAAGGCACAGCTTTTCCCAGCAAGCTGGAGGTTTCCCCAGTCATGATAGAAGGGACTGTCTATCAATATTGTCGCTGGCTTTCAAGACAGCAGGCAAGTCAGCAGGAGAAGAAGAGCCCACGTCACTTCTCCCATGTCACAACAGGGCAGGGGCTGAGCTCCCCGCACTTCAGGGTCCAGTGCAGAAGGTCTGCAGTGGCTGCTTGCTCTCTCGAGACTGTTCACTCTTTACGGGAGAAGAAAGCCTTGTTTGTCTCCCAAGGAGCTGCTAGTGGTTTTGAACAGATGACCTTGAGGTTAGCAGCCAACCAAGGACCCAGTACACCACCAGTGCTCCCAGCCAAACAATAGATAGGGCTAAAGTGGATAGTAACAGGGAGGAATGTCCTTCTCCATGCAATCAGCTATATATGAGGCCGCAAGGGCAGCATTTGTTCAGAAACAAGCTACAGGCAGGAGGACGCAGGGCAGGCGAAAGGGGTCTTGAGGGTTTTGCAACCAACATCATAACAAAAATGTGTAAACTGTAGAATGGAAAGCTAATGTGCTCTGCGAACATTCAAACGGTAATGAGGATATTTAAAGTCAATGAATTACACTTCAATAACGAGGGATCCCTGAATGTATCTTGAGAGCAGAGCCCTGTTCATTTAGAATTCTTTTTTTTCCCATTTATAATTCTTGAAAAATTCCCTTACATACAGACACGCACAAAAACTTACCTTCTGTGACTGAAGCAGTAGAAACCAAGTCAAATATAAAAACAAAATCAGCAACTGAACCACTGTAGAGGTCCCCTGAACTCACTGTTAGTTTTGGGGAATGAGGCATTTAGCTCCGCAAGTTATTAAGTACAAATTGCAAACCCTTCCCTAAAAATACCATTTATGAAAACAATAAAATGCACATGTGAAAGTTATCCAGACCCACCGGAAGAGGCAAATGCAGAGTGTAGAAACCATGGCAAAGAACAGCCAAAGCATACGCCTGGTTCTCTTGACCATTTGAGGTTTTTCTATTTATGTTATTAAGAATTCACCTTATCAGTTTGTTATGCTTGGTACAAGTGGTATTTTTATTTCTTCTAACTAGGGAAATTGGTTTGCAACATTCTTAATTTGAAGTACAAGTCTTGATTTAAATGCATCTGTATGCCTGCAAAAATGACTCAAATATAAATATAGTAAAAAACCAAATGAAAACAAAAACACCCTTTATTTTTAACTCAAAGCAGATCCAGGAAGTAGAAGCAAGAACAAACTCTTCAGATTATTTGAGTCATTTCCATTTGAGAAGTATTTTTAAAAGAAGGCCAGAAAGACAGGACATAAAAACCAATCACCTATTTTTTTGCCCAAGTTCATAAAACTCTTGGTATTTTTCTTCTGTGCCCAAAATTCAACTGGGAAACCTCTGGATTTAACTATCACAGTCTGTGGCTGTCTTTCCATCCCGGTCCCACCAACACTTCTTGAACCTCTGTTATGGGTAATCCCTCCCCCCTGTTGAATTGAAGATTCAACAAATGCTCAGCTGTTACCCATGAGGTTAGTGGTTAGAACACACCTGCCACTCCTGCCAAAAAGATGTGTGCACACGCTTAATGTTCTATAATTTCTCTCTAGGTTCCCATATCCTTGCGATGACGACGTAGGACTCGAAGACAAAATTCATGATTAAAGGGTTTATTAAGAACATTAACAAGTTGTAAAGCCAGGGAGCAATGCACAGAGTAGGACATGTTACAAGGTTTCATTTGGGTAATAAATGCCCAAAGGGGCATACCACTGTGCTATAAGCCTCAGTTTGAAGGCCTTCAGCGTAAAGTCCGTGGGTCAGCAAACCCAGCTCCCTACATTCAGTGTCCAGAGGCACCCCACTCAAGTGAGCCTCAGCCCGAAGAGGCTTAGCTCCACTTCTCTCAGTCAGAAGTCCAGCTTCCCCAATTGAGTGCCCAGAGCCAGCCCACGTCACAAACCAGCCTCTGCGTGGGGTTGGAAGTCCACGACTCCGTTCCACGCTTGGGTTCCTGGTTCTGCTGCTGCTCCTCCGATGGTATAGCAGGCTTCTGGATCCAGGAGGTTCAGATCTAGAGGTCCTGGCTCTACTCCTGCGTTTTGCTGGTAATGAGATCCCTCCTTTTGCTTCTCAGATGGCTCATTTCATACACAGCAGGACCCACTCCCGGGAATCCTATCCGCAATTACTCACAGGTGAATTCTGTCAGGATTTCCCCCCACCTTCTTACCAGACCCATGCAGGGAAAACCTACATAGTTCCCGCGTCTTGTTTGTTACAACCATATATAAAAGTTAGCTCTGGTGTGGAAGTGCTCTTAATGTCGATTGGGTGGGGAAAAGGAGAAGATCGATCAGTATCAGGAATGAGAGCGGTGACATCATTACAAACACTAAAAAGGACAGTAAGAAACTAGTGTAGATCAAATTTTCCAGCCTAGAAGAAATGGACATTTTTGAAAGACATAAACTATGTGCTTAAGAAAAATTGGTAACCCAAATAGCCCTCATGTATCGAAGGGAGTGAATCTAGTTTAAACCTCTTCCCTAAAGAAAATCCCACCCCCAATATCTGGCGCATGCGTCACCCTGAAGTCTCTCTGCACTGGCAGCCAGCACCAGCATCACTTAGGTTCGACGGCTAGAACAGGCTGGCTCTGAAGTAAAGCTGAAAATGAAAATAAAACTCTCAATTCATTTGTGAAAAAATTCACTCGTTAAAAACATCTAAAGGACATCCTTCAGATCATGGTGATTTTATTTGTTTGTAAAACTGTATCCGTGGCTCTGGAAGAATTTTTTAATTGCTGGGAGGGCCAGGGTTGGCCCTTCTGGCTCAAACATTTGCTGACCCCTGGGCTAGAACATTCCGTAGGATGTTTTGTGGATCTTTTCAAAGAGCCACCTGCTGGTTTCGTTGGTTCTTTCTGCCCCTTGTCTTGTGTTCCCTTAGTTCCTGCTCTAACCTTTATTATTTTGTTTCTTCCGCTCCTTTCCTTGACAATACTTGTTGTAGCATCTTCGTGCCCCGCACCAGAACTGCGCCACAGCCAGCAGCCACAGCACGGGACAAGCTTGGCTTGTTGGTTTGAGATTTTTCTTCTTTGAAAATATAGGCCTCACTGAATGTACAAATGCGCTTTACACAATTGATGTGTGTATGGATTGTGATAAAAGTTGTATGAGCCCCTAATAAAATGATTTAAAAAAAAAAAGAAAAGAAAATATAGGCCTTCATAGCGATTGATTTTTCTTTGATAGTCTTGATTAGGTTGAGAAAATTCATGTCTATTCCTCGTCTGCTGAGAATTCTGTGGGATTTTATCCAAGGTCTTTACTTCATGGGGAAGACAGTAGGTATTCCTGTTTTTCAGTCTGTCAACATGTGCAATTACGTTGATTACTTTCTGGATATTAAACCGATCTGAATTCCCAGGGAGACCTTACTTAATCATGATATATAATCCTTTTCTATGTGGCTAGGTTTAATTCGCCTCACTTTATTAAGGGTTTTTACATCTATTTTTATGTGAAATATTGGTCTATCGTTTTCAATAAAACAAGTCCCTGTAAGGTTTTAAAGATTCAAATTACACAAAGTATATTCCCCAACCAAAATAGTTTTTTTTCCCAAAATAGTTTTAACTAGAAATCAGTAGCAGAACAATATTGTGACAATCTCAAAATGCATGTAATTTAAAGAGCATACTTTTAAATCATGAGTCAAGAAATTAAAAGGGAAAGTAGACAGTATTTTGAACTATATAATATAAAGCATTTGTTTTTAAATTATGAGATGAAATTGAAGCAGTACATAGAAGACGTTTTATAGCACTGAAAACACATATAAGACATGATTGAAAAAAAAGAAATGATTTGTGATCGCACAACTCATTTTAAAGGTGATTTAACCATGGGGGGAGGGGTTTCTAAA